TTCTAGGACTTCTGTCATCATTCTTAGATTGATTGTTGTTTTGAAGGTGTGCCAAATACTTTCTATTGTTTCTTCTGCTTCCGCTCGTGTTCCACTGAACTTTTCTTTGAGTGTATCATTGAGTGTATCATTGAGTGTTTTCTCTATTTCTGCCTGTACTATTGGATCATTAAGTTTTTTGAGGCTAGGTTTTATCTTTTGTCTGTATTTGATTGTCTTTAGTTTAATTGAAATTTTACCAAGAGCAGGATCCCTGCTTAGTTCAGAAATCTTCCTCCACAAAAGCTAAGACCGGACACGGGAAGAAGTCTTAAAAAAGGCAAATACTGAGAGAGAGCTACTCAATTTGATCAAGATACGAAAAATTGGATAACTCGGCCATATTTTGAAAGGAAAAAATACGCAATACCTCAATTGATCATCCAGGGAAAGATTGAAGGCAAGAGAGGAGAAGGTCGCAAACAAATGTCATGGCTACGAAATATAAAGAACTGGACAGGCATAAATAACACTGGCGATCTTTTGCATGCCGCAAAAGACAGACGTCTAGCCTTAAGATAAATCGCCAACGCACTAGTTGCACGGCACTATAAGAAGTAGAAGAACTTTACTTATTTGTAAAGGAGTCAGCTGGGTCCATAACCTTCTCAATATTTAGTTTATAAATGACAAAATAAGTATATTATTAATGGATTATTTCTTTATTATTTAGAACAACATATTACAACCATCTTGTCTTGCTTACATTGCTTACAATTATTATATTCGTTGACTTTTGACGTAAGTCATAAGTTCAGTGTAGCCAACCTACACTATTGTACCAATCTATTCTTAACAATAGAGACCTGAAATAAAATAATAAAGAAAAGATAGAGAAAATGGACAGAACAGATCCTACACATAAGCTAGAAACAAAGGAAAAATCTATTTCCAGATGAAAGGATTGTAGAAAACCATAAAATCTAGAAGATATGAATAGAGAAGAAGTAAAAAGTTAAAAATGTGTCCCAACACAGATATAGTGAGTTTCGAAAAAAAAAACGACGTTTATCTGTGTAGCTTGTGAAAAAGATTAGTAAACCATATATTAAGATCTATTATTATTTTCAAATTGTAAGAGCTAAAATTTTAATACAAAAAAGTAAAATACTATAATCTGTTATAAATATAGTACACAAACATATCATTGATTGATATCGACATCGTCGTGCAAAAACAACTATCTAGCTAGATGGTTAGTCAAGCGAATAATTGGTCTCGATATTTATTTAACGTAGGTATTTACTATTTTTAGAAACTTTCATTTTTCCGAATACAGTGTTATATGGCGGGCATTGTGTAACACGCCAAATATGATATGGTTTAATGGACTAAAAAGTTCAATAACATATATGTTTTGCATAAAACTGTTACCTTGATTACGAAAGTTTAGAAGCATTGAAGTAGATACTGAATAAGTACAGTATTCGCTGAATTAAACACTACTGAAAGTGAACTTCATATTTAATAATCATTTTTTTTATAATTGGCCTTAAGTTAATATTGTTCTTAAGTTATTTTCTGATGGAATTTTAAAATTATTTATTATTTTTATTGGGAATCAGTTTAAAATAGGTTTATTTTCACGATTTGGAAATCAGTCTCCATTTATTTATTATATTTTCCTGATTGTAGGACAATTATTGGCTTATTATAATCATGTTATATTGAAGTATTTCTTCTCTTTTATAAGATACCCAGTCTGTAGCACAGTGGCGTACCCGGGGGGTTGGGGGTTTCCCAGGGCACTATTTCGACACTGTTTCTCACAAATTTTAAGGATTCAAAATGGAGATAAAAAAAATTCGGTGCCCAACCAAACCGCCCCCACAGGAAAATTCTAGGTGCACCACTGCTGTACCAGCATTTCGACTAGGTATTTTTTATTCATGGTTTTCGTATTTTAGATTAGTGCTTTATAAAATAGAATAGAATAGAAACATGCAATATTGTCACTGAAAATTGTACAATTTTACGGGCAAAGCTTACAAAAAGTTAAAAAAATAACAATAACAATTAAAATTTACTAAAATTACATAAATCGTCAATATCACAAAAAATAAGATAATAGAATATACAATCCATTACAAAACTAACTATACAGGGTATTTCAAAAAGTTATGTCATAAATTAAATCACTCATTCCGGGGACAAAATAAATTGATTGAATTCAACTTATCTTAGTTTAAAAGTGTACACGAAAAAGTTACAGCCCTTTGAAGTTACAAAATAACAATTGTTTTTTTGTTACGTTACGTTACTTTCTTGTTCTGAAATAATTTTTGATAAAAAAGAAACAACAAAATCTAAGGGCACAGAAAAATTTGAAGGGGGGTGTGCAGCGCTAAATCCCCCCAAATTTTTGTGTACGTTCAAATCAAATAAATTTTTAGGGAGAGAGCTTTCAACTCAAATATTATTTATATTATTTTTTTAAGATTTTTTTAATTTTCCTGGTAAACTATCACGTAAGCACAGAATAAATAACAATCAGAATACCCACTCTCAGATGTCGCCTTTGAAGTTTGTCAGCACGCGAACGCCATGTTTTAGATTTGAATTGAGAAATTTGTGACAAGCTACGACAGAACTGTAATTTAAATTTTTAGAAATTAATAATTTAGTACATTTGAAATAATTTAATCTATTCTTCAACTAAAAGTACGAATAAAATGGTGCATATTATGTCTGTAGTTGCCGTAAATAAATTAAACTGGGTTAATTTGTCTATGCACACCAGATAAAATTTCACAGAACAGCACTGGTTCCGACTAAAACATGGCTGATTCCGTCTGCGCGAACAAGATGCGCGTACTTATTTTTCTTGCAGAGTGGGCATTCTGATTGTTTATTATTCTGTGACGTAAGGGTGAACCTAGTTCTATTTTAAAACCTTAAAACCTTTTTCGAATTTTAAATTTTTGCACGAAAAATTTTTGGCGCCATCTTTAAAATAAAGGAGCAATGGAAAAAAAAATTGTAATCTTCAAAAATGCTTGAAAATTGTGCAAGTGTCAAATATAATAGATAAGACACAAAAAAATTCTTGAAATGTGTCATTTTTTGTTATACTATATACGGCAATAGTACTTTAAATTACGTATGTTATTTGTTTTTGATGTTTCTGGCGCTTTTCAAAACTATTCCCAGATTGAAAGTCAAAAACAAAAAAGTAATGTTGATTACAATTATTATGGGTTATTCCCAAAATATTTAATGTCCATTTAAAACAAAAAAAGAAAAATTTTAAACACGGATAGACTAAGTATAGACACTCCTACGTCAAAGCCAAAATATAAAATGAAATGACAGATCTTTAAAGATGAGATGACAGACACAGTAAATACCACACACAGTAGTGTAAGTGAAGTAGGACACGTAGAGTGATCGAATTGCATGGGCCCAGCCGTTCGTAATGGCGACGGCGCTACTAGTCACGTTAGGTGTTATGACATAGCCAGAGAAGTATGACGTTGATGTAAGTGCTGTTGCCATGATTTCACTAGTTTTGCATATTTACCCAAATAATTATAACGTATAATGTACGTTATTGAATTATACTATACAACGTTTCCAAAAAACAATGATTGTAGCAAATACTAAAAACACAATTTAAATTTACAATAACTTATTTCTAAAGAATTTTGAGTATCCACCGAAAAAAAATATATGTTAGTGGCAACATTGTAACCCACGCCTTTGCAATTTGCAAATGCAAATAAAATACATAAATTTTCTAACAAATCATCTAATAAATAGTGCTAAAAGAAAAGAAGGTACAATACCAAAATGGTATACCATTCCAAATCAAAATAATCAAAAAAATATTTATGGATGGGTGAAAGGAAGTTAAAGTTGTACGAAGGGCTATTAAAGATTCTGAAGATTAGGAGTTTTTTTACAAGCACCAGGTAAAAACAGCACCTAATTATATCAAACTGTTGTTAGTAAATACAAACTCAATACTATTTTGTACATTTTGCTTCTGTAGTTAAAATTATTAACTACCAAATTACCTTTATACTATATATATTTTAAAATCAATAAAACTCCAAAATAAAAATTATAATTGAATTCCTAAAAGTTGTCTTTATCACAAAAATGCTAGAGTTTACACTTAATTATTATCTACAGATAGTCCTTGAAGGAAAAGTATTTGAGAAGGTATGGAACTTATAACAAACCAGTACTAATGAATATAGAGGCATCTATATTTGTTTATCAAAAAGGAAGATTTCAAACACCATGGAAAGATTAAATGTAGATTGGTGGCAAAATACCTAGATAAAGTTGTTCATCTGGTATAGGATTGCAGCCAATAGAGACAGCAAGCTAACAATATTTAAAGTGTCCCCAACCACACCTTGACAAGGGCTTAAGGAATGAGGAGGAGAAGGATATTTGTTGCCAATACTTTAACAAAGAAACTTATACAAATAAACAAGTGTCAGGATATCTGTGTTTTATTTTGTTATTTTCGGGACTTTAGTTTGTTAATGTAATGGAAAACAGATGTAACAGGTCATAAAATAATAATAAATAAAAACATTCCTGTACCATAATATATATAGGTATATATACTCACTCTGTCTGATATTGTTATACATTTATAAATAAAAACGCGTAAGTGTATACTATATTTTTGGACAGAGGGAATTTATTTTTTGGCATAGGATAAGTTTTTATTTCTTATTTTATGACTATATTTATTTTCCATTAAAAGCATACTTTTTGAATTTGAATTTTGCCGCCTAAAATTCAGAACCTTCGTTTTAAATTTGCCGCCAAATGACACTAGTTTCGGCCCGTCCGCAATAGGCGCTAGAAACTCTCCAAATATTTTTATAGGACTTACCTCATTACAGAGCTATGTACTGTGATGACAGATAACCGAGAGGTTATGTTGATTAAGATGTTTTAAGTAGATTTTACGTGAGAAAATATAATAATAATAATAAAAAATGAATCGAAAGTCAAATAGTGTAGAACTTTTAGAAACAGAAAGTAACACGTTACAAAAAACTCTTCCGCCTGAGAACTTTAGAACTGATTCTAAAAGTAATATACTAAACAAACAGGATTCAGTAAGTATTAAATAACATTTAATTAATAAAAAATTAATGCAACCGCTATTTTTAGACAGCCTGGGGCAAAACATCACCTAGTAAAAGTTACGGATCATCAAGTTCTACCTCCACAGAAAATGTAGTGTCGACTTTAGAACGAAAAAAGGTATAAAATTTAATGTAACATTATTTACAAAAGTTTATGTACTGTTTTTTAGGTCACAACTGATACCCTTATCCCAACTCGCCCTGATGACCCTCCACTATTACCGGGAGAAAAGGTAACTGGGCAAGCAAGAGATGTTACCTACTTATGTCCTTATCATGGACCAGCTAGGGGTATCCTTACAGTCACAAACTATAAGCTGTATTTTAGGTCAGGGGAAAAAGATATGCCGAATATTATTGAAGTTGCCTTAGGAGTAGTATGTATCTTCCATAGTTCTTATCACAAATGTTAACACTTCTTTCTTTGCAGGTAACAAGGATAGAAAAAGTAGGTGGAGCCTCTTCTAGGGGAGAAAATGCATATGGTATAGAAATTTTTTGTAAAGATATGCGTAACTTGCGTTTTGCCCATAAGCAAGAAAATCATTCAAGGAGGAATGTTTTTGAAAAGTTACAAATGTATGCCTTTCCATTGTCACACAAACTAAACTTATTTGCATTTGAATATTCAGAAACTTTTTTGGAAAATGGCTGGACAGTATATGAACCAATAGCAGAGTTAAAGAGAATGGTAAGAAAAAATGAGGTGCCTTGATCAAGTTTAAGTAAAGGTTTAAATGAACTAAAAACAAGACCTCTTGGCTTTTCTTTTATTTTTCATTTGCAACAGAAGTCTTATATGTCCTTAGATTTCATACAGATATATTAAGATGCCTTTTCATACAACAGAGTATTTTTTATATTTTTAAAAATGGACAATACTAGTAGTTCGGCGAGTGTAGCATTGTCAATTGTAAAAAAAGATGTGCATATAATAAAAACAAAAATATATATTTGTAATTTTTTAATTAAATACTTTCAAAAAATTATAATAATGAAGTAATTAGGTTCAATATTGATTTAATTGGAAATTGTGAAAAACTATGAAAGAAAATCAATCAGTAAATTATGTATTCTTGACTTTTTTTCAGTGTGGATATTAAAACCATATTTGCTTGGTTGGGGAATATGAATTTGAGATTTAATCATGTTAATTTCTAAAATGCTTTTAAATTGGGATAACTTAATTTGATTTTGTTCTTGATTTTTCAGTTTGATTTCATCATGACAATTTATGGCATGTTATTGTACTTTTTCTTCACTCCAACTATCAAGGGACATTTGATGTATTAAAATTGGTGAAGTTACGTTAAGTATAGGGCATAGAAAACACAATATTTAACAGAAGATCTATGAACATTCTGCATTTTTAAAAGATCTCCTTATACTATACCATCAAACATTAAATTAGGGTCGCCTTATTATTTAAAATTAATTTAGAAACTTTTATTTTTTTTTTTTTCGATTCTAAAATATTTTACTGATTGCTTGAAAAAAAAAGTGTTTGCTTTGGTAAATGTTGGACAAAAAAAAGGATTCTCAACCAAAGTCCTTTAAAACCATTAACAGCATATTTCTTGTGGTTAAACTTTTTATTATATTAATGCAGTGACCATAAATTTTATTGTTGTGACGGCTCTACATAATGGCTGTGGTCATTGTAAAACTACTAGAATTTCTAGGATAAGTTTCTCAAGTGTGCAATGAGTAAAAAGGCAGTGCAAAAGGACTGATCTCCTTACTTAAAGATCTTGTTTAGGTTAAAACAGACTACAACAGCAAAAGATGAGTGTTTTGTCATTTCTAATGCTTTGTTAGGTGGACAGTTAGGAAGTGACTTCATTCTGCTGACTTATCATCTTAATTTAGAGCTACTGGACCATCTCCTTCCCCTGAATATCATATTGTCATATGAAATTTTCCACGAAAACACTTGGCTTGATCAAATGTAAAGCAATGAATCATGATTCTGTCTTATGGGCTCAGAGAAATGTGTAAGAGTGTGACTATGACTAGGTGAGAAATGCATAAGCGTGTATTGCCAAGCGAATTCCATTTAGTAGGAGATCAGTGTATTTACAATTAGAATGGGTAAAATATTATACAGATATGTAGGAAGTTAAGTTGATTAAACATATTTTTTATGCTTACATACAGTTAACTTTTTACCTGGCAAAGGGTGTAGAAGACCAGGTTTTATCAGTCATGGTTAGTCTTTACATAAATGCAGACAATCTTCTGCAAAATATGATAAAAAAGATACCAATTCATTTGGAAACTGTTATCACTGCTAGAAAAGGGAGTAGTCACTACGAAAGTCCTTAACATTTCTTTTGTTTCAGACATAAGTATATCAAAGCAAGATTGTTCATTTTCATTACTTATCATATTAAAGTTTATTTTTATTAATGTTCATAAACTTTAAATCACAAACAAAAATATATTCAAATTATAGGGTAACTCTAATTTTTTACTTGGCAGTGCATATTTTACTATATATGAATATATTATTTCAGGGCGTAAATAATGATATGTGGAAAATATCAAAAATTAATGAAAATTATGATATCTGTGATAGTTATCCAGCAGTATGGGCCATTCCGTATCAAGTTACAGATGATGATATTAAAAGCGTAGCAAATTTTCGAAGTAGAGGTAGAATTCCAGTACTTAGTTGGATCCATCCTGAATCACAGGCCACTATAACTAGATGTTCACAGCCTCTAGTTGGGGTAAGTATAATATTTACATTTCCATAAGAAAAATAAATAAAAAGATGTAATGTTAAGTCAATTTTACAATGATTTGTAAGCCAGAAAGAGTGGAAAAAATATACTATTTGGGCTTCAATATTAAGGATACTTGGGATCACACCTATGAAATAAAAACTCATATTGAAAAAGCCAGAAGCTCTTTCAACAGCCTTAGGAAGATTATCTGCAACTTGTCTTTAAGTATCAATATATGCATAAGAATTCTTAGATGTTATGTCTTTAGTGTCCTCCACTATGGAGTAGAAAGCACTCCCATGGCACAATATCACTTTTTTTCTTTGTCGTTAGCTATGTATATGCCAAATTTCATGTCAATCGATGCGGTTCTTTAACCCTAGAGGGGTGGACTATTATTTACTGACAGTTATGGTGGACTATCGTAATTTTTACGACATCTAACAAAAAATTGAAAAAAAAAATACAAATGTAATTATAAACACTTTTATTACAAAAAATTAGAAAAAAATGTAAGTCTTAATAAGTGGTACACATATAAATAAAGTCGATATACATTACTCGTTTGCAGATATTGTACATATATTACCTCGGTGTTCGCCACATATAGCGTGATGGCATTGGTTGCAATATGTGGTAGTCATGCGCCTCTTTTTACTCGGACAATGGAAACATGCCTTGCGTTTCTTTTTTTCAGGTAACGGACGTTCAACTTCTTTGGAAATTTTGAAGACATCTTTAATATTTTGCTTAAGATTTCGACGTAAAGTTGGAATACACAATCGTTCTCTCAGTCAGGGTTCGGCGAGATGACGAGCCAATTCAACCATATATTTGTATCTGGATAAAACTTTTCTGTTTTCTTTTAATGTGTTTGTGGTGTAAATAACATACGAGTTAATACTTGCAATATTTATCATATTATAAAAAATACACAAAGGCCATCTCCTCGTTTTACGACCCGCATTCATATTCGAACACATTTGATCAAATGTATCCACTCCGCCTTTTGTTCCATTATAATCAGTTATTATAGTGGGTTTGCCATTTATTTTGGAAACCTTCACCTTCGTGAAGTGTTGAAAGAAGTAAAACTACATTATTTTTCTTTGGCATATATGATACCAATCTCTTTCTTTTATCAAAACAAAACATAGATGTATTGGGGACTCTGTTCTTTACATTGAACAATTCCTGTGGAATTTCTCTTTATTTTGCGAAGAGTTCCGATAATTATCAGTTTGTACTGATCTTTTAATAACTCCTCTGCTAAGCTAACTGATGTAAACCAGTTGTCCATGGTAATATTTCTGTTACTACCATGAACTGATTTTGTAAGTTCCTTTACAAAATATGTACCCAACGGCAAACCATTTATATTGGTTTTCTGGCCTAAATAAGGAATAGCATCAATCATATATTTCGAAGAGCTGTCACACATCATTACGATTTTGAAACCATACGAATTAGGTTTATCAGGTCAACACATTCGAAAAGGGCAACGTCCTCGAAATCCTACTAACTGTTCATCAATAGTCAGATAGGATGAAGGTGTATATGATTCTCTGCAGGTGGTATTAAAAATGTCACATATTTCGCGTATATACGCAAAAGGATCATCTTGCTGCCTTTCTTTTCGTGTTTCCTTTTCATCAAACCTAAGACAGTTTATGAGATATTTGAAACGCTGACCACTCATGTAAGCCTGATAAAATTTTCCTGATATATTACTGTCAAACATATATTTCACAGATAGATGACTGTCTTTATTTGCTGCAGACATTATCAAAATTGCTAATAAAGCTTGTAGCTTATTTTTACTCATGTCAGAAATATTAGGAAGACTGGCATATTTTTTATATTGTCTTATAATTTCAGTATTTGAGTGTAACAGAGTACGACATAATATATCTTCTGAAAAAAAAAATGTAAGAAATATTCTTCAACTTTTTTGTAGTTTTTGGCATTTCTTTTGGGATCAGCTATAAAATGAATAATATTTCTAGCTGCCGTTCTTTTTGACAATGAAGGTATTTTGTTTGACCACTTATGCCCGTTTTTACCTTTTAGAGACTTTCCCGGATTTACAATAAACTTAGAAACAATGGAGTTCTCACCTGATGTTCCAGGTACTTCTTCTGTAGATTTTTCGCTTTCCACCACTATTGCTTTTATATCCGCATCCATTAAATTTACAGATGAACTGATACACTGGATGGCTGGAAAATTTTGGAATTACTACTATTTTTAGAGTCATCTTCTTCATTCATTGTCCGATTCAAACTCCAAAGCATCTTCTTCTAACTCCCCGTCACTTCCACTATCTTCAAAAGGTTCCTGCTCACTATCTCCACCATTCATTATACGCTGTATTTCATCATTTATTTCACTTGCCGTTAAAGGTTTTCGTGATGACATAGTGCTACAATTAAATAAAATAATATTTACTACAAACGTAAAAAATAATTAGATAATTACTTACCAAAAACGTCACCGGCGTCCAAATAAACTTGAGAGAAAAAACTAACGTAGAAGGTGGACTGTCGTAAAATTGACGACGTGCCCTCAAAAAATCTAATACATAAATACAGTAGTAGAGAAACACACTCACCGCCTGTTAAATCAAGACTAAAGAAACAGCTACTGAGAAGTGTATGGGCAGAGGTTACGCGACTGCACCCAAACTGCGACGAAAGCAGAGGAGCGTCGTCAAATTTACGATAGTACCACCTTTCTAGGGTTAATATTTATAGCACAAACCGTGAATAAATGGACTAAAAAGGAAATAAAACTTTTCGAAACATCAATAAATTAAAATATTGGTTTCTCTTACCTTTATTAAAGTGATTAATGCAAGGTATTTTTACTTTTGATTAACAAATACTTTGTTTTTGGATACTAAAAGTTCACTACACACTATAAAACTTAAAACTAAACACTTAATTCTAAACTCTAAAAAATAACATGACCAGTTAATATCTTAACAATAACTATAACATAGATATAACACACAAATATTTACTTAAAAACCAATACGCTAAAATTTTAATTTAAATGGACTGACAAGTTTGAACCTGTAAAACGAGAATCCGTCTGGTTTAAGGCAATAAATTATATTTAATAGTCTCTTGACGAATGAGAGGGCAAATATCAACACTGCGTTTGTTTACAGTTGGGAATTTGCTGAGTGAATGTACTTTAATTGTTAATAATATGTGTTTCTCAATAAAGATGTAAGTAATTAGAAGAGTGATAATTATTATCTGGCGATCTATTACACGATGGCGTAGCAGGAATGGCAATGTAGATTATTTACAACCTTTGTTTATTATATGGCAACTTTAGTTATTATTTGGACGGTGCCAACTATAACAATAATTTCTTTTAGGTCAGTGGTAAACGTTGTAAGGAAGATGAAAAATATGTCCAGTTGATAATGGATGCTAACGCACAATCGCATAAGCTATTTATTATGGATGCCCGTCCAAGTGCTAACGCTATAGCGAACAAAGCAAAAGGAGGAGGGTAAGCAATATGTATATCTCTTACAGATAACTAGCAAAAGGATCGTTAGATCTTACTTGAGAATGTAAAAAAGCTTTTGTTATTGTTAGCTAATATTGATTGTTTTAGATATGAGTCAGAAGATGCGTACCAAAACGCAGAATTGGTATTCTTAGACATCCACAACATTCACGTAATGAGAGAATCTTTGCGGAAACTAAAAGAACTAGTATATCCCAATATAGACGAGGTTAAATGGTTGTCTGGACTAGAATCAACTTATTGGTTGAAACACATCAAATGTATATTAGCTGGAGCATTGCGTATAGTAGATAAGGTACTTCATTCTTCATTATTAACTTGACATACTGATTTTATTATCTGTAAAGGTATTTTAAATATAACTCAACTACATTCTGGAAATTTCAAGGGTGTTATTTAAGGGGATGAGACAAACATGCTGTATGAGTAAGGTGGGGTTCCTCTAAAAACGTTCCCCCGCTAAATGTTCGATGTTTTCTTAGACACGTTTTCCAAAACTGCTGATGAGGCAGCAAATTTGGTTCTTGCACCCAGGCGGCAAAACCTTTAGGCTCCGCCCTACAACGGGAATGTGATACAGTATTTCGCTATATCTATCTATCTATAGCCCAAAATCTATTCATGTGTTAAATATAGGCCTCTACCATTTGTTTCCATTTGTCTCTGTCTTCTGTTTGTCTTTTCCACATTAGACCTGCGCTTTGCTTCAATGTCATCTTTCCATCTCATTTGCGGTCGACCTCTTTACCTTTTTGCAGTATATGGTCTCCAGCGGCCAATTTCTTTATTCCATCTTCCATCCTGATATCTTTCGTTATGCCCAGCCCATTTCCATTTTAATTTCAATGCATGTTCTGTCGGTTTTGCATCTTATCCACTCGTTCCTCTTTTTATCTCTCAACGATATTCCCACCATTTGTCTTTCCATAGCTCTTTGAGTTTTCTTTATTCTATCTAAGTTGCTCTTGGTACACGTCCACGTCTGGGCACCATATTCAGAACAGGTAGGACGCATGCATTAAATACCTTCGTTCTTAATTTTAAAGGTATTTTTTGGGTTTTGATAGTATATGAGAGTTTTCCGAATGCAGCCCACCCCATTCTTATTCTTCTGGTTATTTCTTTAGTCTGGTTACTTTTGTCTACTCTTATAGCTTGTCCTAAGTAAATATATTCTTGGATGTGTTCTATGTTTGTTCCACCTATGGTAATTACTGATCTGTCTTCTGTATTAGTCATTATTTTAGTTTTCTTTAGATTCATTTTTAGTCCTTTCTCAAGAGATGTTTTTTCTAGGTCTGAAATCACTATTCGTGTTGTTCCATAGTTGTTGCTATCAGGAGTACATCATCGGCGAATCTTAGATGATTTAAATATTTCTCGTTTATACAAATCCCTTTATTGTACCAGTCTATAGATTTAAAAATGTCTTCCAACGCCAGAGTAAATAGTTTGAGTGAGATTGTATCCCCTTGTCTGACACCTCTACAAATTCTAATTAATGGAGTTTGCAAATCTCTGTCTAGCTGAATTCTCATAGTGGCGTTTTGATATATATTGTGGAATAACATTCTGTACCGTGAATCTATTCGGCAATTAACAAGCGCTTCTTCCACTGCCCATAGTTCTATACTGTCAAACGCTTTTTCATAGTCAACAAACACTAGGTATATTGGAAGGTTGTATTCGTTGGTCTTTTCTATCAATATTTTAAGAGTGTGAAGGTGGTCGGTTGTGCTGTACCCCTTTCTAAATTCTGCCTGCTCAACTGGTTGGTATGCATCAAATTTGGTTGTTTAGTCTAGTTGTGATCACCTCAGTGAAAGTTTTATAGATTTGTGACAAGAGAGATATTGGTCTATAGTTAGCTAATTTTGATCTGTTTCCTTTCTTATATATCAGAATTATATTCTTATATCAGATTTGTTTTGCCTTGTTCCACTCTTGCGGTATTTGTCCTTCAAACAAACATTTATTGAAAAGTATCTTTAGGTAGTCTTTTATCTTTTCCTTTCCTTCTTTTAACATTTCAATTAGAAATCAAAAGACTGATATGTTTTTTGTACACACTTATGACAAGTCAAAAGAAAAGGTAAAAAAGTATTTTTGAAGTGTGTATATTTTAAATAATTCCTAGCTGAGCGCTTTCGGCTTTATTACTTTATGCTACACACAAATCAACCTCAATTGCAATTATAAACCTCTTTTTAAATTATTATGGGAGACTTTGGAGGAAGAAGGGTGACCTCATGCAATCTTATTATATTTTTTCATAATTTTATATTTTTAAACAAAAATTTTAAACTTAATTAGAAATTTACAACATTTTGTAATTCATTTGACAGTTATTCTTAATTGGAACATGAAAATATATTCTTAAAAAAAATTTTTATGCAAATTTCTTACAATTTCCATCAAGAAATACAATTCTCAATACACTTAAGTATCAGATAATGTAACATTAATACCATGTTTCTTCTTTATATTATTGTTGAACAATTTGAGCCCTTGTTTCTTAAGGATGACTGTCAGATTGAACATACATTGACCTTGAGCAATGACTTGAGTGAATTTACAAACTAATGTCATTCTGTATGATGTGATGAACACATAAGAATTAATTTAAAAACTTAAAAACTTAATTTTTAGAAAGTATGACTATTAGTAATTCCAAACTATTAAATAATTTTGTAAGAATTTAAAAAACAATCTCTATTTCCTATATATGACATTTGTCAACTGTCACTTTGAAAAATCTTTAAAAGGACCGACATTTGATTTCATTAGTTCTATTCTGTCTACCTCCTCACATCAATCAATGGTCGGGTTCTTAAAGCCGTACCATGACAAAAAAATTTTCAATTTTTAATGTGTCTGTGAAGTCCAGTGTCGGTTTTTTATATGTTTTTTAAGAATTTTAACAACTAAAAAATCATAATTTCGACATATAAGGAAATGAGATCTCTCCATTGTAGTGGTATTTATAAATTGACGTAAGTTAAAAAATTAAAATCTTCACCAATTAGTACTTATAAGAACATTTTATTGTAGCATAGCTCCGATGATGACTTTGTAAAGCCGAAAGCGCTCAGTTAGGAACTATTTAAAATATACACACTTCAAAAATACTTTTTTACCTTTTCTTTTGACATTTCAATTAGAATTTCATCATCTCCCGGAGCCTTATTTCTTTTCATATCTCTAATTGCTTTTTCTATTTCTTCTCCGGTTATGGGAGGTAATATTTCAGAGTTTACATTCATTATTTTCTTTTTCAGGTTTTGTTGAGTTGTATTAGGTGGACTGTTTTTAGAGCTGTAGAGGTCACTATAATATTCCCTTGTTATCTTAGATATTTGGGTTCTGCTTTTTCTTTTAAACCTTTGGTTTAGTACACCTTGTTTAGTATATACCTTTCGCTATATACTAACATTATTTTTCTGTAATTGAAATAAAAGTGTTCATGGCTGACCCACGCCTTCAGGTTAGTGATAAAATGGTTTCAATTATCTTTTCCAATCCATCTTCTTTATCGCCGATCTATCTTGCTTCCTTTCTGTTTCTCTCATATTTTCAGTCCTCTTCTGTTCTCGTCGTGTCCAGTTTTTCGCTTTTTTGATCATACGTATTGTCTTGTTTCGTGAAATTATAATTAAATAAATTATTATTGTTCTATAGGTAGAGAGCCACAAAACGTCAGTCTTAGTTCATTGTTCTGACGGTTGGGATCGAACCGCCCAGTTGACTGCCCTTGCGATGTTATTGCTAGATCCGTTCTATAGAACAATCAAAGGATTTGAAATATTAATCGAAAAGGAATGGTTGTCATTTGGCCACAAGTTCCAACAGGTAAGTAACCTTAATAGTCTTTTTTCAAAGTTATTCCAAGTAGAAACTACTGCCTATTGAGCTGGGGTGACGTATTAGTTACCCCAATTTGAAAGAAATTAAATAAAGGTCCATACTGAAGCGCATTTAGAAGTACCAGCAAATTCAACTAACTTTGCTTGGCAAAACTACATCTAGACAAGTTAAATTCGGAAAAATACTATTGGCACTGTATGGACAAAAGAGAAGCACTATTTGCGTTTAAGAATCTTATTCAAAGATGCTTAGGAATTAAATAAAACATTTACGTGTGTTTGATGGACTACAGAATAAGATAAAGTTAAGCATAATAAACTGATGAAAATCCTCAAAAACAAAAACTTCAACGAACGAGAACTTTCCTTAAGGGAAGTTATACCTTATGGAAGGTAAAGAAAGAAGAACAAGAACGAATCACTGGTTTGACGAAGAATGTCAAACTGTAACAGAAAGAAAAAACAGAGCATATCTACAGATGCAACAGAGGCACAGAACCCGACAAGCAGAGGAAGAATATAAACAACTACGTAAAGAAGAAAAGAAAATTCACCGAAGAAAGAAGAGAGAATATATCAAAAAAGAACTTCAAGAACTACAAGAACTAAGTAAACCAACAGAGACAAGAAAATTTTACCAGAAACTCAACAAAAGCAGAAAAGAGTTCAAACCGAGAACAACGATGTGTAAAGATAAGGAGGGTAATATATTGACAGAACAGCAAGAGATACTTAGAAGATGGACAGAACATTTTAAGGAAAAGCTTGGTGAAGGTGAATAGGACGGAGATGAACCCTGATATACCATTAAACCAAGCAGACAACAGAGAAAAGAGTCCACCAACAATAGCAGAGATTAGAACAGCAGTGGACAAATTAAAGAACAATAAATCACCGGGATCGGATCAAATATCATCGGAGCTACTGAAAGAAGGAGGAGACGCATTACTTAAAGCCATACATGAGCTGATAAGAAAGATATGGTTGAATAAACAGCTACCAAAGGAGTGGAATAGCGGCATTATTGTACCACTACATAAAAAAGATACCAGTTAGAATGTGAAAACTACCGTGGAATCACGCTGTTGAATGCGGCATATAAAATAATGTCCAACGTAATGTATGAAAGACTTAGACCATACGCTGAAAAAATAGTTGGCAAATACCAATGTGGCTTCTGTAGACAGAAGTCAACAATAGACCAGATATTTGTTCTGCGACAGATCCTTGAAAAAACAAGTGAATATAACATCGACACACATCATCTCTTCATAGACTTCGAAAGCGCATATAGACAATATAAACCGAGAATTCCTAACAAAAGCAATGAAAGAATTTAATATACCAACACAGCTAATAGAACTGATAAAAGAAACACTAAAAGTAGAAAGTAAAATCCGGATACAAAACGAATTAACGGAAACAATAGATGTGAAGAAGGGACTACGCCAGGGAGACGCTCTATCATGCATATTATTCAACATCGTACTTGAAAAAATAATAAGAGACACAACAGTTAATACCCGAGGAACAATAATTAATAAAAGCGTGCAAGTACTAGCATTTGCAGATGATGTTGACATAATCGCAAGATCAAGAAGAGAAATGATAGAGGCATTCACTCAAATAGAACGAGCTGCAAAAATAGTGGTCTTAAAATCAATCAGACAAAAACAAAATATATGCCTGCAAATAAAAACGCACAAATAAGGCAGCTGCCAAATTTAACAATAGGAGAATACAACATTGAGGCGGTAAAAAACTTACATACTTAGGATCCCTAGTTACGTCTGATAACAACGTTGCAGAGGAAGTGAAGAGGAGAATATTTATTGCCAATAAATGTTACCATGGCTTAATTAGACAACTAAGATCAGATAACGTCTCCAGAAAAACAAAATGCCAAATATACAAAACCTTAATAAGACCGGTACTCACATACGGTTCAGAAACCTGGACACTCTCTAAAAGGGAGGAAACGTTATTAGCCACCTTTGAAAAAAAAATCTTGCGACACATATATAAGGGCACAAAAGAAAACGGGATTTGGCGGAGAAGGTATAACTTTGAACTATACAACATATACCAGGATCCGGATATCATAACATTCATTAAAATAGGAAGGCTACGTTGGATTGGACATGTGGAAAGAATGGAAGAAGGCGAAATACCAAACAAAATATTCAAAAAAGTGCCAGTAGGAAAAAGAACAAGAGGAAGACCGAAGCTGAGATACGTAGAACAAATAGAAAATGATATAACAACATTAAAAAATTAAAAACTGGAAAAAAAAGCACGAAACAGGTCAGAATGGAGAAGAATCCTTGAACAGGCCAAGACCCAAAAAGAGTTGTCGAGCCAGTGATGATGAAAATGATACCTACTTGAAGAAGAAATAGAAGGCAAACAACTTGCCGACAATGGGAGACCATGACGATCGTACATCTATTCAGATCATGTTGTCAACATCCATTAAGCATGGGTACCACCAGAATAAGAAGAAAAACATTGCCATATAACCCAATACTAATAAAAAATATCACATTGTAACTTATCTTTATTTTTCAGAGAGTCGGCCATGGAGATGACCACCATTCAGACGCTGACCGTTCCCCAATCTTTTTACAATTCATAGACTGCGTGTGGCAAGTAACGCAACAGTTTCCAAACGCTTTTGAATTTAACGAATCTTTTCTTATAACTATCTTGGACCATTTATATTCATGTAGATTCGGCACGTTTCTCTTTAATAGCGAAAGAGAAAGAGTTGTAGACAGTAAGTATCAGTTTTTGTAGGGATATACTATTGACTTATTTTCCTCCAGACCTTAGGTCACTTGAATATAGACAAATAAATTGATTTAAGAAAATATACTATCAATAGTAATAGTTGAGTTCCAATTATTGATCCTGTTATCGGAAAGAACAGAAAAATACAAAATTGACAATTGACATTGACAAGTAGTAAATTAATTAATCAAAATATTGACTGGTTGTCTTTATATCAATTTTAATGGTCTTCGAATAACCTAAATATATTTTTCCCAAAAATAATTATTTAGTAAAAAAATTTTATGAAATAAAATATTATGTTCTTCTATATTTTCCTATTTTCTTTATTTCATTATAAAAGATTGCGAATAGATCACATATATCGCGTAAAATATCCTCATGACAGGCTAATATCATTTTTGTTCCATGTTTTGTGGTAGAAATGGGCACTTAGTCGAAACCCGAATTTCCTAAATTTTATAATACCTGCTTTATCTTGTAATCACTTCTTGTGAATATAAATAATTAAAATTAACTTTGCGTTCAACATGGTGCTGATTCTTTCTGTCAAGTTTGAGACCGATTATTTGATCTGATGAAACTTGGCTAAATAATGAAGTTCTTTGCTTCCTGTTCTTACATTATCTGTACGTGCGTTTTTACTTCCAATTTTCATATATGGTACACATTTCGCATAAATTTGTTGTGGAAACTTGCGTACGTTCAATTCTGTGTACCAGTGAATTTTAATAGACATCTGAATACCTGTATTTTTCAATATCTGTATTTCTTGCAGTCTGAAAAGTACAAATACTTTTTCACTGATCATTTACATATTTTTTGGAATTTTTTAACAGTAACTGTATGTCTCTAAATACTTCTCAAATTATTCAGACCACTCTGGATGGTTTTAAATCCAATCTAATGTCTCTAGATACTTCCAAATCACTTATTCTTCTCTAGGAACTTTCAAAAATCAACCAGATTTATCTAGGTACTTTACAAACCATATATTTGCCTCTAGGTACTCTTAAAATAGCTTAAAGCTTGTAGCTACTTCTCAAACTATTCATTTATCTCTAAGTATTCTTTTGGGTACTTGCCAAAATCACTCATTCATCTGTCTAAGTGTTGTGTCTCTGTAAACTTCCCAAATCTGTCTAAGTATTCTTAAAATCACTCAAGGTCTCAAAGTCTCAAGGTATTGACTTACATCACTCATTCATCTTTAGGTACTTTCAAAATTACTCTAACGCCTGTATGTTTTTGCTAAAATACATACATCTATAGATACTTCCTTGTAAGTACTCTTAAAATCGCTTGTAACGCTTATAGCTACTTTCAAACATGTTCATTTATCTCTAAGTATTCTTTTGTTACTAGTCAAAATCACTCATCCATCTCTATAAACTTCCCAAATCTGTTTAGGTATTCCTAAAATCACTCTAACATCGGGATGTTTATATATACAAACAGTTTACATCTTGTGTATTTTTGGAGTTAGTACTTTAATATCGACGTATTTGTGTGAATTGAAGTATTTTTATGATTATGAGTATGCGTATTTTTATAT